TGAACAGTGATAGCTATCCACTGTTCTGCCTTCTTACTCACACCCATTTTCTTAGCCACATTCACATTAGATCAAGAGCCTCACAGCTGTAGCAGTGGCACACAATATTCAAGTCAGCCTTAATAAAAGACCATTCTGAAATGCTCTGCCTCCTGACAGGTCAGTACCTGAGTGTGACAAATTAATCTTGCAGCATCTAATGGGCAACTCCTGAAGAGCTGCTGTTCTAAGAAAAAGACCCACACAGTGAAGAGTCACAGAGGAATTGCAACAAGAGGAATTATGTCACAACAGTAAAGACAGAAACAAGGAGTGTTATAAAAGAGTCTCTTCCAACAGGAGGGACTCTGGAGAAGTAGAAGGTGACTTGCTACAAAATTCTATGGTGTAGCTCAAAAGCGTTTGAACTGGAAACAGCATAGCCCTGCATTACCAGTGGGTGTCATTCACTGGCCAGGGAGCTTTTTTCTGTCTCTAGCAAATGGTTCTGTGAACTGCTGCAAAGAAACTACTACAGTCCCTGCGGCAGCACCAGAGTGTAGCTGAGCATCCCTCAGTGATGATCAGGATATACCCACAGAATTAATGCTTGCCCTCCTTCTGTGCAGGATGAGCTCAGAGTCTCCAGATCAAGAACAGACCCAGTGGATGTTTTACCTTTTTGACTGATGTCCACCTTTATGCAGAGTGCCTTTCACATCCTCTGTATACATGCAGTGACCACTTCTTAAACTTGTGACAAAAACGAAAGAACACTTTTTAATGTGAGAAAATTTATGCCCAGGTCCTCAGTAATTTGCCTGTTTCAAAAATCAAGCTAGCATGAAACTGTATTTCACATTCTCGTAAAAGCAAAGAGCGCATCCTGGTCTGTGCACAAAGCTGCTAGTGGTGTTCTGTGGAAATGTCATGATATGCTTCTTCTGTTTTCATGTTTTTCTAGGTCTGTGCTGTCAAAGAGAGAACACTGGGCTAGATGGATCTTTGGTCTAACGTGAGTTTAACATCTTTGTCAGTGACATGGCCAGTAGGATTGAGCACCCTGAGCAAGTTTGCTGACAACCCTGAGCTGTGTGGTGCAGTTGACACACTGGAGGGAAAGGATGGGATCCAGAGGGACCTGGACAGGCTGGAGAGGTGGGACCATGTGAACCTCAAGGAGTTCAACAAGGCCAATTGCAAGGTCCTGCCTCTGGGTCAGGGCAATCCCAAGCACCCACACAGGCTGTGGGAGAGGGGCTGGAGCAGCCCTGGGGAGAAGGCCTTGGGGTGTTGGATGATGAGAAGCTCCTCATGACCCTGCTTCAGGGTGCACTTGAGCCCAGACACCACCCACCCGCCCCGCCCCATGTGCTGGGCTGCACCCCCAGAGCGTGAGCAGCAGCTCAGGGAGGGGATCCTGCCCCTCTGCTGCGCTATGGGGAGACCCCCCCCTGCAGCCCTGATCCAGCTCTGGGGCAGCAGCACAAGAGGGACGTGGAGCTGCTGGAGCGAGGCCAGAGGAGGGCCAAAGTCTGCAGAATTTTTCAGTTCTTAGGCAGAAGCTCTTCCCTGGGAGGGTGCTGAGGCGCTGGCACAGGGTGCCCAGAGAAGCTGTGGCTGCCCCATCCGTGGCAGTGTTCAAGGCCAGGTTGGACACAGGGGCTTGGAGCAAGCTGCTCCAGTGGAAGGGGTCCCTGCCTGTGGCAGGGGGTTGGAACTGGAGGAGCTACAAGGTCCCTCCCAGCCCAAACCATTCTATGGTAGCCATAGAACTACAGAATCACAGCAAGGTTGAGGTTGGAAGGGACCTTTGGAAATCATCAGGTTCAAGCCCCATGCTCATGCAGTATCAAGGAGCTATAGATCTCCTCAGTGAACTTCTTTGTACTTGTATGTGCAAATCAGTTTAGCCCATTGATCTTATAAGCCATTTATTATTGCTAGACTACTGTTAATTATCTTCTAATGTTTTCATCTTGTATCTCACACATGTAAAAGAGAATTTTGACCAACTATTCCTTCTTGGCATCACTAAAAGTTTTTCTATCTTCATATAACATAAATTCACAAAACTGCTCTATGCTGGATTTCTTTTGTTCTTAATTTACTTCAAAGCCAAAAGCATGCCATTTTTATGCTTTTGTGCTGTCAGGGGTTTATTCTTTCTTTTTCCTTGGCTTCACTTTTACATAACTTAGTAATTATGTCACTTAGAAATTCTCTATTTCCCCTTCCCAGCTCCCTCCTTTTCTGTTTGCAGGGTACAGATTTGACTTATGCTGAAAGCAGACACATTCCCACAATTAAAGCTTTGGGTTTTTTTGTGGTTTTTTTTTTTTTGCAATCCATGTTATTGTAACACTGAATATTCTGCTCCTTGAAAACCTCCAATCCTTGAATTTTGTTGAATTCTGTCTTGCAGTTCTAAGACCTGCAGTCTAATTTCATGTGTCTACACATCATGTAGATATTTGGGATAATGGGATCTCTGTGGGATGATCTATTACGAGTCCCAAGCAGCAACAATATTATGAGTCTATTATGAGTCCCAAGTAGCAACAGATAGATTGTGATTTCTGAGAGCTCTTCATGCACAAGTAGCAGTGCAACGCAGCACTGCCAGTTGACATTGCTGCAGGGCAAAAATTCAAATGCTGCTTATCTTTGGGGTTTTAGATCAATCCAGTTTGTCTGTATCCCCTACTTCATACTGGGGCCGTCAGTTCAGGAAAGCCATGTCTATTTTGCTTGGTCAGTTGTCAGGGTCTGATACTCTCTGACCAAGTTCTTTTAGATATGCCACACTATTAAAGGAGGGTTTAAAACCGTTTGCCAAAAGATTTACTTACTCGAAGGTATCTGACATTACACTGGGATTTGTTTAGCAGAGGGATACAGCATATACTGAAATCACAATGTAAGTGTAATACAGCAACATACAGTTGAACCTCAATACGAATGTGATTCCCATTACTAGTCTCTGTATGCTCACTGTCATGATGATGGGCAGCCACAGTTCAATACTTCTTCATATTCCCATTAAAACATGATGCATCTGTCTAAACTTACTTTAAATATATTAAGATGTCTCAGTGAGAAAATTTGTCAGAAGGAATATTTGAGGGTCAGTGTTGCTTCAGTGGTTTTGGTGATTTAAAAGTAAAGTCATTGCTGATAAAGTTGTAGATGATACACTGAAAAAGTAAGAAACAATGAACTAGTAAACTGGATCCTCTCAAACAAGTTTGCTCTTAACAGAGCCAAATGCAAAGATTTCCATGATTATGGGACTGCCCAGACAAAAAAAAAAACAGTAGTGAACTTCACTTTACACTTCAATGTAAACTGAAGCTCAAGCTAGCTTTGAATTCATGGAGAGGAAAGAAATGACTGAATCTGACCTGAATGAATGCACCCACGAGTGATGAGGGAGCTGGATGCCAGCACTATGAGGCCACTCTCCGTTATCTTTTACAAGTCTTGGTGCCTGGGGTGTTCCTGAGGACTGGAAGAAAGCAATTATCACTCCTGTCTTCAGGAAAGGCAAAGAAGATCCAGGGAGCTACAGGCTGATCAGCCTCACCTCAGCCTCTGGGAAGCTGATGGAGCAAATGTCCCTGTAAACTATTTCCAAGGAAGCAAGAAGGTGAACAGGAGCAGCCAGCAAAGCTTAACTGACCTGATGTCCTTCTACCATGAGATGACTGGACATACAAGGGGAGAGCAGTGGTTATTGTTTGCTTGAACTTTAGGAAGGGTCTAGTTGTCCTTGCTTTGAGCAGGGGAGGTGGATTAGTTGTAAATGTCCCTTACAACTTCAATTACTCCGTGATTCAATCCTTCTTATGGCCATATATATTCTGGTTTGGAGGTACCCAATCCCTGATTGTGAAATAAATCTGAGCAAAACCAAGGACTGTAATGAACTTCCTCAGTTTTCAGCATTATTTCCTTTACTTTTCTATGTCCTGTTTTTCCTTCATTTATTGTGGAGAACAGTTATATGGACATAAACCACTTTTCCCACTGTTCCTTAAGGTATCCCACCTCACTGACACCATCAAATTGAAACACAAGATTCCATCTAAACATACAAAAAGATTTTCTCCTGTGAGGGAGGTAAAACACTGGATCAGGTTATGCAGGGATATTGTGTAGTCTCCTGCCTTATTGATATTCTGAACGAAAATGGACACAGTCCTAAGCAACCTGCTGTAGTTGACATTGCCTTGAACAAAGGAACTGGACTAGAAGTCCTTCAGGTATTCCTTTCATCTTCATCTATTCTAGGATTCTAGGATTCTGCTGGCTTTCCAACAGCACAAAACACTGTCATTCCCACTCAACAGTAAGAGGACAGTCATCTAGTACACTGGCATCAGGAAGAATAATCAGAGTCATAAAATCATAGAATCATAGAATGGTTTGGCTTAGAAAGGACCTTTAAAAATCATCTAGTCCAACCTTCCTTGCCATGGGCAGGGACATCTTTCACTAGATCAGATTGCTCAAAACCCCATCTGACCTGACCTCGAACACCTCCAGTAACCAGCTGGGTTAAGCACTTCTTAGGACACCTTTAGTAGCACCTACATGGTATGTTTTTTTCTCTTTCCGTTTAAATTGCATGATACTTTCTGTAACTGCAGACTGTACAAGTCACAGCTATTGCATGGAGGCACAGATGTTAAAGGCAGAGTATCAGCTTCTCCTTCTGTTTTATTTTTTCCACAAGCCCTAGTGTGATTTTAAATTTAAATTTTCAAAGTTTATGATCCTCTTCTCCTCTAAGATATTCTCTTGATGAACATGAACAAGGAAGGATCCTATCTATGACTGATGACAAAAGTCTTTGGTAGCCACTAAATTGCCTTTGGGCAGACAAGGTGCAATTTCCAGTTTACAAAACTGGAAATTAACAGTTATATGTGTGTATATACATACATATACAGTTATATATATACATAACTGCCTTCCTTACAAATCTAAGCACCTTTCAGAAATTCATTAGGCAGCATTGTAAAACCTCTCTGATGTGCCTTAGGTGAGGAATGCAGTAAAGAAACATGGAAAAAAGAGGCATGTCTGTTATGACCAATAATATATAATAGTATCAGAGAGCAAAGGCAAGGACTGGGAGAATGAAGAACTGCCACTTTAGGAGAAAATCAGGTTTGAGGTCATCTAAGAAACTTGAAAGTGCACAAATCTATGGGACCTGGTGACATGCATCTGTGGGTCCTGAGGGAACTGGTGGGTGAAGTTCCTAAGGCACTGGCCATCATATTTGAAGTTCCCACTGACTGGAAAAGGGGAAACCTAACCCCCATTTTTAAAAAGGGAAAAAGGAAGATCTGGGTAACTGCAAGCTGGTCAGACACACCTCAGTGTCCAGCAAGGTCATGGAGCAGATCCTCCTGGAGACTATGCTAAGGCACATGGACAATACGGAGGGGATGAGTGACAGCCAACACAGTGTCACTAAGTGCAAATTGTGCCTGACAAATGTGGTGATCTTACACGACAGGGACTCCTGAAGGCTGCTTCTCTGTGTTCTTTGTCACCAGGGTGCTGGTAGCAGTGGACCCGTGTTTTCCTTAGTCAGTCTCCTGTTGCTGCTGATGCCACTGCAGAAGGCTCTCTTGTTGCACTTCATAGTTCTTGCCAGATTTGACTCTAGGTGGGCATTGTGTCTCCTGATCACCTGTCTTCTTGCTTGTGTAAGATCATGATATTCCTCCTGGGTTACCTCTCCCTTCTTCCCTCTCCCAGAGCCTCACAGTGGCCTGGCTTATTTTTAGATATTTAAGACTCATTAAGTTGACTCATAAAACTCATTTTCTTCGTTCTGGAAGGTCAGTTATGTCCCTCAAGGGTTATGTAAAGCAGAATAACTTGATGGTTAGGTCCAGCTTGACTCTTCTGTGGAGGAGCTGCATGGCTGAGGTTTAACCTGGAGATCTCTGTAACTTTTTTAAGTGTGTGGTATTCTTAACCTATGTGAATTGCATTAGAGCAGTTGATGTTACCTAATGGTAACGTCTGTGTTAAACTGCGTACATTATAGCACCTTAAACTGAAAGTTAATGGTTGGGGGGGAGGTTAATAGTTTGTACACTGTAAGTTTAGCATACAAACTGGTCTGTGTCCGGGCTCACAAGCCATGCTGCGGCTGCTACCCATGGATTAAGATTGTGTAACCAATATATGTCCACTAGATGGAGATGTATCACACCAGTTCCTATCCTTCCTGTCGGTGGGGTAGCAGGGTGCCTTGGTGTGTCACCCTTTCTACTTTAAGAACCGCAGCTTCCCGTGCCTATTTGTGGCAGGTATATTTAGTGCAGTTCAGACCCTATATATGCCTGCAGCATATTTAGAACGGGCTGTTTGGTCAGTGTGCGCTGTTGCCAGTTTACTTGCTGGCGTGCAGGAGCAGAGTGTATTGGTAGGATATCTTGTTGCCTCCCAGCGTGCATCGGCTGTGGATGATAAACTTCATTTGTCTAAGGCAAAAAGAAGGTCAGACCTTCTGCATTTGTGTTTTTCTTGTTGGAATCATCAGATCTTACTCCACATCCTGCCCCTCTGTGACAGCCCAGAGCCTGACCCCATGCTCCAGAGGCAAGCACTCAGGTACAGGTGGGGGATTGCTGGACAGTCCCATTCCCCTGCAGACTCCTCCCAGCTCCCTGCTGCTGGGCAGAAGAGTCCAGTGGAGTCGATAGCTTGTGGGTGAGACTCGACTCTGCTGATCTCAGAGCCTTTCCTTCCTGAACAAACATTTTCCATTCTGAAATAATCACCTCACTATATATAGAAAGCTCCTCCAAAGCGAAACCCATGTTCTTTGGGAAGGGATATTCCTCAAATTGTTTTCTTCCTTTTAAAAGCTCCAACAGGCCCTTTGCCATCAGGCTTGTACATGTTTGTGAATTCTGCTGATCAGAAGCATGTGTTCACCTCACATGAAAATAATCTGGATTCCCGATGCAGCTTCTGTGCTCCCCACCCCCACTGCACGGGTCCTGAGGCTGTCTGCAATCACAATCCACAGGATTTCGGAAACCACCTCCCCATCTCACTTCCTCCCAGCTGATTTTCAGGGGAATAGAAGGAGACTTGTTTGCTAGCAGGGGGGAAGTCCAGGCCTTGGTGAGCAGCTTTCTAAGAGGCACCTATGAGAATGGTGCGCTTCAGTCAGTGCTAAGTTTGCAGAGGCTGCTGCCAAATGAGGTCACCCTGGTGCAGAAACGTGGACGAAGAGCTTCCAGAAGAGGAGGATGGAAGAAGCCAGGACAGGAAGTAGAGCCGTCAGTAGCACAGGGCTCAGCTCAGTCAACTCCCTGCTCTGGAAATGCTGATTTCAGTTTTGTCTTGGCTCACAGACTAAAATGCATTAAATGGTTTCATTGTCATCTTCCTATTTCTCGTCATAAAAATCATTCTTTGGTTTGACACAGTTTAGTTGTCTCTCTGGAAGGTGTCTGCTGGGGCAAGCAGCATACACAGGGCAGTTCAGCCACGAGGTCTGGGTGCCTTTTGGGAATCACAAAGCTCAAAGAACCTCAAGGAGAGACTCCTTTTCAAACCATGTAACATCTGCTGAGCTAGCACATCTCTTGACAAAGGCAGAACACCACGATACCAGCTTGGAGTGGGTCTTGCCAGGGACAGCAAGGATCATCTGGTCCAGTCTCTCTTGGGAAAGAGACAAGACGGCCCAGCACCCTGTTCAGCCAAAGATGGACAACCTGGACTGCTAGGGACCTCTTATGCCTTTTTCTTAGTTATTCTAGTGATTAATTCCTCCTTCAGTTGAACTGTTGCTCTTTACTTTAGTTTGTATAATGGCCATTCCACCCCAGTGCTCCTGTTTGTTTGCTAGATTGAAACATTACACACAGTGGAAAAAAAATTCTTTCTTACAGACCCTTAGAAATCACTTGTATTTTTAATTTTTCTGAAGTTCTCCATGTGGAAACTTGTTCTGCTGATGTTGACTCCTTCTTATGACTCTGACTGCTTTGAGTTTTCTACAGTCTTTATAAATATTGAACATCAAATTAGCATCACTAAAGCTGCAGTAATATAATTTCCCTATTGTTCTGTGTGTTTCTCTTTGGTCAGTCCGTACTTCCTTACAGATTCTTAGTCAAGATACTGAACAAACATTGATGATAGAAATATTAAAATTATTATTATTCCTTGTAGGAAGATTATCCACTTGGTAGGAATAGTAAGATGTACAGATGAAGACTGAGAAACAAACGTCTATACGGTAGTTCTCAGTGTTTAGTTTATAGTTAGCCACAGGTTGAATATGAATCAGCTATGGGCATGTTGTTGCAAAACCAATGTAACATCATATGAGATGATATAAACAGGAATATAACTGGCAGGATGCATGAAGTAACATTTCTGGCTCTGCTTTGCTGTGATAAGGCCCTTAGCCACAGTACTGGGACCAGTCTTAGGGCCCTTCAGAGAATGTAGACAAATCTGAGAAAGTCCAGAGGAGACGGCTGGAGGCTGAGAAAATACAGGATGTGAAGATTAAATTCTCTGGGGCAGTTTAACTTGAAGAAAAGTGAGAAGATATGAGAACCACCTTGATTTGTAAAAGACAGTTGCAAGGAGAACGATCTATTTCCAGTGTTCATGACACTGGATAGTACAAGATAGAATGTACAAGATAGTACAAGGAAGAATGGGTTTAAATAATAGCAAAGAGAAATTAGCACTGAATCGGTGGACTGGCAGGTTTATGAAGTCTTCATTATGGGAGGACCTGAAGGTGCACATCTGCTGAGCATGACAGGGGCTCCTGTGCTCAGTGGAACCCTCTGTGAGGGATAGGAATAAAGCAGCTGACAGCCCTGGGTTTGTTTTTCCTGCTGTTTAAAATCTGCCCCTGCTCTGCTCTTTAGGAAGTACCTGCAAAGAATATAGCTGCTGTCTCACTTGTAGCCTTACCCTTCCATGTTCCTTGTTGTATCTACCTACTTGTCTTCACTTTTGATTGTTTTCTCTTCTGGGCATGAATTGTTTTATTGCTGCACTTGAAGTCTTAACCTTTAGATGCTGCTATAACTTACAATAATACCAAATGAGCTTTTTGAGAAGTCCCGTGCTGAGCTACCAAGGGAGCTGCTGGTTGGGAATGCAAGGAACTGGCAAAATTAAGAACAAGCCCAGGCCTGGGACAGGTGAAATGATGAGCAGTGGAACTCCCAGCCTGCAAGATGGATGGTGTAATGTAAGTAATGTAAGTTCAAGACAAGGAGGCAGCAAGGAGCAACATTTTAAGCCCAACTGTTTCACAGGTTTTGCTGTCATAGAGAATTCCTCTAAAAAAAGAGGCAAGGTGGACAATTGAGTGTTCAGATCATTTAGGACTGTACAAAAAAGAGCCATGGAAAATAGGCTGTGGGGAGTCCTTACCAGGCTACCATGAGAAAGATGGGTAGCAAGGGGAGGTGATGGCTCAGCATCCTTCCTTCAGGCATAATGTAGTGTGATGTTAAGACCACTGCTCAGTCCAGCTGCTTCCAACACTCCTGAGCTTCAGCACATTTCCAAGGTAAAGAGAAGGCAAAAACTCAACCTGCTGTACCCTAACTGCCCACCACATGCAGTGCAGGGGGAGGACCTGGCATTCAGGCTCCAGGCGGCTCATGAACAAACCCTGTAACACAGAAACGTGCCTGTTGCAGGACCTTTATGTGACAGGAGCTTTGTGTCCATCCTGACAAGCAGGAGATGCAGAGCTCTTCCACTGTAAGCTTCCAATCTAAGTCAGGTTGCCTTCAGCAGCATTTCCTTTGACCAGGCTTTGAGTACAGAGCTGCAAAGCCAAGGGACCAGCCCCATTTCCCAGGTGAAATGTTTTTGCAACTCCTTTATATTTCATGGCTTTCAAGGGCATTCCAAATGGTGAAGGCAAACTTGGGATCTCACCCCAAAGCCCTTACTCCTGTCTCAGGGAGAGTTGTGCTGCTTCTCTCTCTCCCAGCCATGGATGTTCCTAGCAGGTGCCTGCCTTCCTTTATTTTTAACCTCCATTCTGAATGCAGGAAGCCTTTGCTTGCTGTGAATGTCCGGGAATCAGAGCCTAAGCACATCCCAGAAGGATTTCCTGTTTGGGACTTTTGAGCTAGGCTTCAGCCTGCAAGCGTGGAAGCCTCCGAGCAATTTAGTGCTGCCGGGCTCCCTGCTAGTTGCTCCTGTCTGGTTCAGGAGCAGCCTGCCGTCTAGCAGGAAGGTGCTAAACTGACAGACCACTTCCCACCTGCTATGGATGAGGGTGAGAACATGGAGAGTCCAGTCAGGGTGGGGATGTGCTTGACTCCAGGATCGGGGACAGGGTGGCAGAAGAGCCACACGAGAGAGAGAGCACAACATCCCATTACAGTGCAGCTTTTGCCTGTAGCTCTAGGACAACACAAAGTACGCAGAGTGTGTTTTCTGTGCTACCTCCCAGCCATGCTCCGGTGACTACTGACTCCGTTTGCTCGGTTTCACTGGCTCCTACATTATTGCCATTTCTCAAGTTCACCATAGCACTGATGAATCCAGAGTCACCTTCACAATGTGCCCCCTTCTCCATACTCTGGTCTCCATGTTATTTCTATCGAAAGGCGTGATACAGCAGTCCTGTCCCAACCTTTACTACTACCAGTAAACTTCTGCCCTGAATAGCTGAATAGCAGATTTCTGCTCTTGTTTCTGTATCTGAGTTGCTCTTACAAGGTATAGGTTAACTTACATTTTTCTATCAGTCTGCATACAGCTTCAAAGGTATGTGCATGTCAGAAAGACTGTTGAAGATCTCTCTGAAGGCCAAGCACATGATACGGATCTGTTCACCCCTCTTTTGCCAAGGGGGATCAAGAATATATAGTAAATTAGAATTTACTGGGAAAAGGAATGCACTGATTTCCATTCCTAAGTAGAAACAACACTTGTGCACAAACTGCAAGTCTGAGAGGAGGGCTGTTTAATGATGTGGGGCAGTGCCTGGGGTTGAAGAATGACAAACATCACAGATTACTGAAGAAAGGAGGAGTGAAGTGAATGTCCATGGAAAATGCAGATTGCTTGCAGTAGTGTGAAGGATTCAAGGCAGATTTTAAAGGGAAATGATAATTTGAAAACATGACAATAAATGGCAAATGTGATCAGCCTCTTTGGGTAGCTTTTTCCAGGGCTGTACAATTCTCCTGGTGAAAAACACCTTCCCCAGTGTTCACTCTGAATCACCCAGGCTGTAATTGTGCCCATTGTTACTGTTCTATTGGTGCCATCATCTTTTTAACATGTCCTAAAGTAGCATTAAGATGCCATTAAGAAGACCCTTAAGCTACTCATCACCAGCCTGAGCAAGCCCAGCTTCTTCAGTGCCTCTTTCTACCTGTCATGTGTGCCTGGCCCTTACCTCTCTGCTAGTTTTTACATATTCCTCATGAACAGGGGTGCCAGGAATGTACCCGGGATTTCAGGGTGGCTTCACCACCTCCCAGCTTGAGGGGATAATTATTTCCCTTGATTTGCTGCTCACCCTTCTCCTGTGTAGTGCAGGAAGTTGTTCGCCTCATTTGCAACGAGAGCAAACTAGGATTCTTGATTCTACCCCTACCTCCAGGTTCCTTTCAGCAGGAGTGCAATTCGGTTGGTTCCCACCCTGGACCAGTTACAGGTTATTCTGCCTCAGGAACAGAACTTTGTACTTCTCCTCATTGAACTTCATGAGGTTTCTGCTAATCCAATTCTTTGAGTTTCTAGACATCTCTCTTGACCAAAGTTCTGCCATGCAACATATCAGCCACTCCTCCAAGTGTCATCTGCAAACTTGCACTCTGTGTCACCATACTGCACAGCACTGGCTCACAGTTCAATGCTTGCTGTGCTTTCCTGGCTTGCAGGCACCAACTCCGTATCGAGTCACTGATCACTACCCTTTGAGCCCAGAGGTGCAGCCAATTTTCACCTACTGCTCTGTTCCTTCAGCCCGTACATCCTCAGGTTAGAAATTGGAAGGTTGAAGGGACCTTTAAAGGTCATCTAGTCCAAGCACCCACAACAAGCAGAGACATCTTGAACCAGATCAGATTGCTCCGAGCCACATCCAACCTGGCCTTGAACACTGCCAGGGATGGGGCAGCCACAGCTTCTCTGAGCACCCTGTAACCCACCCTCACTAAAAGAATTCTTTGTTATATCTAGTCTGAATCTATTCTTCTTTAGTTTAAAACCATTACCCCTTATGCTATCGCTACAGGCCCTATTAAAAAGTCCTGCCCATCTCTCTTTTAAGCCACCTTTAAGTATTGAAAGGTTGCAGTACATCTCCCCTGAGCCTCCTTGTCTCCAGGCCAATCCCCCTGCCATGTCCCTCAGCCATTCCTTATCACACTTGGGCTCCAGGCCCTGCACCAGCTCCGCTGCCCTTCTCTGGCCCCACTCCAGCACCTCAATGTCTCTCCTATAGTGAGGGGCCCAGAGCCGAACTCAGGATTCAAGGTGCGGCCTCACCAGTGCCCAGTGCAGGGGCACAATCCCTGCCCTGGCCCTGCTGCCACACTGGTGCTGATCCAGGCCAGGATGCTGGGGGCTTCCTGGCTGCCTGGGCACAAGCTGCTCGTGTTCAGCTCTGTCAATCAGCACCCCAGCATAGGTCCTTTTCCATGAGCAGTTTTCCAGCCACTCTTCCCCACTCCTGGAGCATTTCATGGGGCTGTTCAGGACCCAGCACTTTGCCTCATTGAATTTCATACCACTGGCCTTGGCCCATTGATCCAGCCTGTCCATATTCTCTGAATTGGTTGTCACTGGTGGAAGAACCTAGATATTTTCCTGAGGAAGGAGATTGAGCTGTGACCTTTATAGCACAAGAACTTAGCAATGGACTGTCATAGCCAGTAGTCACTGGCAGCTTCTCTACTAAGAAGGCAGAATAAAAGAAGGTCCAGCAGTGATTATTGGCCTGGAGGCAGCGTGGCCTCTAACCCACACACCAGTACTTCTGGGACCTGGCCTAGCTGGAGCAGGGAAAAGCAGTTCAAGCGGCCAGGCTGAGCCAAGCAGGAGCCACTG